CGAGATCCGAGATTCGAGATCCGAGATTCGAGATCCGAGATCCGAGATTCGAGATCCGAGATTCGAGATCGGAGATTCGAGATTCGAGATCCGAGATTCGAGATTCGAGATCGGAGATTCGAGATCCGAAACCCGAGATTCGAGATCCGAGATTCGAGATCGGAGATTCGAGATCCGAGATCGGAGATTCGAGATCCGAGATTCGAGAATCCGAGCGTTCCCAACATCCATGGTCAAGTTCGATCTCAAAAATAAACGTCAGTGAAGACCAGGAGAAGGATGCCCGAAAGGTGGTTTTTGTGGTTGTGTTGAAATGTGTTTCGGGTATCGTGCATCAATGCGAAGCCCTATAGAGAGCAGGGCTGGGAGGAAAAAATAGCAGAGCACCTATAGTTGAATTCTTGTAGTTTCGTGGAGCTGGTATCACTGTCACTGCTTTTCGGACCCTCGCTTTGGAGCGCTCTCCCCCACCAAGCTCCGGGTTCACCCTTCGCGCCCTCCTCCCCCCCCAGCACCCCCTTAACGCACTTCGTTCGCTCTAAGAGCTCAAGCCTAGCCGCCTAGCCTATCGGCTGGCTTTCGTAATATATATATATATATAATATCATGACATCTACTTGTGAGGCTTCGCGGTCTCCGGCATCTTCCGTCTTCCAACGTCAGCCACCTTCAGCCCAACCTTCGGCCCTTTGCACCTGTGGAGGTCCGATTGGAAGGTCGAGGCTGGGGCTCCTGAAACAGAGACTCCAAAAGACCTGGTGGAAAAGACAAGAACAAAAGCTATATATGCGTTACAAAATTGTACAAAGTATCCCCTCTAAACCTCCTTATTGCAAGGACCTAAACACCTTCTTCCTTCTCTGAAAGGTCTGGCATGTGGCTTCACAGGGCTTCACTGCAAACGACCTGGACATCGGCAAACATGCTATATAAGGCTTTTGGTCTAGGGGATCATGTCAAGAGATGTCAAGACTCTGACAACTCGAGATCTTGAATTCAAGAATCTCTGGGTCCATTTTCTCCTGCAAACCTCCAAGACTCTGGTGCAACTCGTCAAGGCCAAAGTATTTGACCTTCCACATGTCATGAAGGGTGTCTTTAGACTAGAACCGAGCAATTGCTGTTTGGCGCCAAAGAATCTCGGCCCAAGAATGCTGCTTCATGGACCTTGACAGCTTCCGGCTAAGAGGCCTTGTCGAAGTCGTTTGTGGGTCTTGTGTCACACTGAATTGGCCAGCCTCTTGCAGCAGCAGTGTTCGATCGGCATGCGAAAGGCCCAAAGGAAGCCGGCCATCACGGAGATAGTTGAGGACGTGCCTGAACAGACCTTTGCATTGACAAGTACGGGCGTGGACAAAGGGCCGGCAAGCAAGATCAATGCCAAACACTGGCCGAGAGTATGTCTGAGCATACTGTCAGTAACTATGTGAACAATGCCATTGATCTACGTGACATCATCTGACATCCTGATGCCGACGCCCTTCAGAATCCAAGCTGCGCCCGTCACGGTCGACACACAAACAATCGCCAGACCAGCTGGCAGGAGTCTCGCCTCACTTTGGCAGGCTCGTGCACTCGTTTGCGTCCCCCCAGCTAGTGTGGAGTCCATTCTGCACCTTGAACGAGCCAAGCTGCCTGAAAGCATCTTTGCCAACTCTGAGCTCGGGTGCTTCCTTGGATCAGCATGTTCGTGCTTAATTTGACGGCCTCCTCGATGAAGTACACTGTTGCACTGCTTCACAGCCCTCCTAACAATGCATGCTTTTCCCTGTCCCACCACACTTCTTGTATCTGCACGCTAAGCGGCTGAATTGTGGTGCGGGTCGTCCAGTAAAGTTCTCCGCCCACATTGAGACGAATCACATCTGCATCCATGGCATCCAGAACCGAAATGTCTTACACTGGCAGCATGCACATTGCGTCTAGCAGTCCACGCAGCCATGTGAAAGGTCTGTGAGACCTTGCATCATAAATTGTTTGCCCCACATTGCAAGTTTTGGAAAACATGCTCAGGATAGTTGATGCAGTTTTGTGCTGGAATCCTGTGGTATGTTGCTTGAATAAAGACAAATTGACAAAGCCAACGCGAGGAGAAGAAAAGTATAATTAGATATATATTATACTGGCCTAGACCCCAAATAGCATTTTGGGCAAGATAAATCACGAGGTGTACTTATGTCTTGTGGTCGCTCGGTCTCTTTTGACCACCAGCGGGGTCCCATGTGCCAAATATGTAGAGCCAAACGAGCAATGTGGCTCCACAGTCGGGCTCCAAGGTGCCAGACTAGTAAGTTTGGCTTTTGGATCTAAGGCTCTAAGCGTAATTAGGTAAGAACTGCCATGGCTTCCAGTTATCAAAAGCAACGGCATGCAATTGTGAAACCTTTCCGGTGAAAAAAACAATGCTAGCCTCTTGAAAGCAAAATGGAACTCACTGGAATTGACTTGCACACTTCCCGTTGCTTAAAGCCAAACTAAAATGCCAAGAAACAAGGAGACTTGAAGAAGGTGATCCTGCGCCTGCCCTTCCAGCCTGACAGGTCGGCTTCACCAATCAATCGGATCAGTTACCATCAGTTACTAGTAGCGTCTTTGTTCCTAGTAGTAAGGCCAGGAGCCCCTAGTAGCATGTTTGCTCCTAGTAGCGATGCCAGGAGCCCCTAGTAGCTTCTTGTTCCGTTCTTAGTAAGGCCCACGGCGTTTTGCACAAATGCATGGACCCTTCTTCCCCACAAACTCCGACCCAGTGCTTCCGTGCCCTGGGGCCAACTGACAGAAACCCCCCATATAAATAAACCTAGGTCCTAGGTGACTAACCAGGTTAAGCAAACAGCAGCTCCTAAACCATTTTGTGTAAATCGGAGAACTTCTTGGACAACCCCGCTCCAGGGTTGATGTGCATTTTATTTCAGTTTTGACAAGGTGCTGTTCAACGACCCAAGCTGTAGCTGTAGCAAGGCCAAGGCCCACTGCCAGGTGCCAGGCACCACACAGCCTGGAGAACGTTACCACACCCAGGGTCCTTCCAAAAAACAGTTTCCTTCTCACATCTTCTCTAAACTAAGGCCTAAAAGCCTAAACTTCCCTAAAGCCTAACAGTCTAGGGCCTAGGAATCGTTCTGATCATGCGAAGGGTCCCTCCCTCCTTCTGCATCGTTGCATGTAGCATGCAAGCTTACTAGTAGCCACAAATCTACCTCCCGTGTCGCAGCCTACTCTCCTTCAAGAATAAAGTCAGCATCGTCCAAGCCACATAGCTCCCAGGCCATTTGGCCGGTGCGTTCTAGGCATGTTGCCTCACTTGCTGCCGCATCTCAGTGGTGCTTCACCATGTCTCCTGAAAGTATGCCACATGTACTTCTAGAAGAAGTCGACGTGCATTTCCACATCTTCATCAAGGCTTTTGTATGTATGTATGTATGTATGTATGTATGTATGTATGTATATGTATACGTATATAGTTGACATTGAGGATTCATGTGGGTTCTTGTTTCTGTGCATGAGAAGAGGGGCTTTGTGCCGTGTCAAGCATTCAGGAGGGGCTTAATCGGCACACTGCCTTGGCCTCATTGCCGTTGAGCTTTCTGAACAGCACCTCTAGGAAAAAAATTACATACATACATACATACATACTTACATACATACATACATACATATAAGGCTTGAACAGCCGCTAACCTGTGACACAACCTCTCCCTTATCTTGGAGTGATAGCTGCCATAGCTTGATATTTGTTGATTTTTTCACTGGCGTCAGTGAGTGTCACAGGATCCAGATCCCAATCGCTTGGTCCACCTCCATTTTCTTGTCATCCGTGGCACGCAACAGTCACTTGTTTAGATTTGGGATCCAGGCTAGTTCCTGCCTTTAGCACTGTCAACATCTTTGATGACAGTGATTGAATTTCGATCACCAATGAAAGGTGACACACCAAGCCTTCTAAAACGCGTTGCTTCAGCAAAACCCACTCAATCATGACACCAACTGCGGTGTTCATGTGCTTGGGCTTATGGCCAGTGATGGACAGGAAAGGTTCAGCAAGGCTTAGAAAAAAAGTGGCACATCGATTCTCGGATTATCGCTCCACTCAGATGCTCAAACCGAACCTCGACTGCTGAGATTCGAGCTTTAAAATGTTGGAAGCATTCACACCAAACACGAAACATATCGAAACACATTCTGCCGAGCTGCTCGGACCACCTTCAGCAGGACCTTGAACGCAGTCATTCACTCGCGTTCTCGCATTGCTCGAAAAAAA